AACAGTGACTGCTGGGCACGGAGATCTTCATGTGTACTTATCACAGAGGCCAGTAGACTTGCATGTGATGATTACTAACTCTTAAGCACTAGTGATGCCACCCCACCACACCCCAGAAAAGTAATGTTGCCCCTGTGCTTGTGAGCCTCTCCACGCACCCCCACCCCCACCACAAACACACACAAAGTGCACAGATCCCACCAGCAGCGTCTTCCAATGAGTCACCATGGGGTTTGTTGTTGCCACTCCACGGCTTATCCAGACAGAATCAGGAGACAGTCCTAGGATGGGTGATGTCCCCACCCACACACAGCCTGGGCCAGACAGGGCACTGGGAGCAGGAATGAGGGACAGGTGTACATAATACCCCAAGTGTACACCAGGGATCTTCTGCCATCTGCGTCAGCTCAAGGGACTGATGTGGTCTTGAGGCCCCTCTGAGTTTGGCAGGGCACCTAACCCACTGGCTCTACAGGACCAGTTCTGAGCTAAGCCTGGGTGGGCCTCATCTTAAGATAACCATGTATCTAACCAAAATACAGATGCTCTGAAATGAAAAGAAAAAGAGAGAAAACAAAAGAAATATCTTCTCTTACAGCTCTGGATCCCATAAATACAAAAGCAATAGCAATGGGCCAAAATGAAATTGCCCCATGTACTACTCTCCCTTTCAAGGTTGAAGGGGAGATTCTGTTCCTTCATTCTTCCAGCTTTCAAGGGCTATCAGCATTTCTTGGCTTGTGGACACGTGATTCCTTTTTTTTTTTTTTTTTGCCTTTATGGTTACATTGTCTTTTCTTCTCTGACTCTGTTAACTTTCTTTCTCCACGGATAATATAAGGGTACACATGATTCCATTTTATACTCACTTCAATAATATAGAACCTGTTTATATACTTAATTCATTTCATTTATTCTGTTTGTTGTTGTGTTGTTAGGTTCCAAGGAGTCTGTTCAGTCCCACTGTGATCCTACGCACTCTGCATTCTGATGTTTAGCAGAATCCAAGTTTCACCAAGCGATCAGGATAAAAACATAATGAATGATAGAAAATGTAGAGCAGAACATTTCATATAGCCACTTTGGGAAAGTGACCATTTCAAATAAGATGCAAAGGGACCAAATTAATTTTCACAATCTTAGCTAGTATTGGCGTATTAGCCCGTGTCTATACGTTTCAATTTTATATCTTGTTCTGGTCGTTTGTTGCTTAACATGGTGACTTACTTTGTTCAAGGAAGAGAGATTTCAGCAAGGCTAGGTAGGATGTGTTCATTTGCTCCACTTCTTGTCAGCTACAAAGGCACCCAAAGGGATGGAGACTCTAGTTCTTCATAGATCAAACTCAGCACCAGCATAAGCATCCTAGCTGCCCACTGGGAGCTCAGCCAACGTTGTGTGCTAAAGGCACAGTTTTGCTTGTTTCCCTTATGACTGTATCCATTGTCTGCTTGAGCATCCTACAGCAAAATAGAAATAAATACTATTTTTTAATGTACAGCTTCCAAGACAAATATGCTTCTTCTTTTAGCGGTTTGTGGTACTTTCAGTATTTTTCCTAACACCATGTTTCAAATGTATCAATTCTTCTTTGTTCTTTTTAACTTGAGTTGAAGAATGATGTTTGATTTTCAAACATGATTACATTATACCTGTTGATTGCTCTCGGTAGTCTTGGTGATTCACAGTATTAAGTCTTCCAAACCATAGGTATGATTTTTTCCATTTGTTTTTGTTAATTTGCAGTAATATTTTATAGTTTTCCTGGTGTGGGGGGTTAGCCAGCCCCCGACAACTAATCATGGGTTTGGTAGGCGCAATTGTATGGTTAAGATATACAAAGATTATAGTAAAATCATGGAGAATAGGGGGAGATGGGAGAGAGAGAGTAAAATAAGAAGTCAGACACATTTCATGGTAGCATGCTCACCTCAGCTCCTCTTGGTGGTCCACGTGGAGATGTGGGCGAGCGGTCAGGAGAGAGAGCATGAGGTTTTATTTCTAAGCAAAGCTTATATATCTTTTGGGGCATGCAAGCCCTTGGATTACAGATAACAATCTATGTCATAGGAAGGGGTTGGAACATAGGCAGTACAAGCAGTAGGAAGGGGATGACCTAGGGATGTACATGCAATAGTAAAGGACGGGGATAGGGATACATATATGGCAAGGTGGGTGGACCCTAGACTCAATATCTTAGCCTAACCTTAGTCATCCTTGAATGGTCCCGAGTTTGCCTTCGGGCACTCCTTCAAGGGAACAGTATCAGAAGGGAGTGGGCCCTACTTAGGGTGAGTCACATTATACACTCTGGTTGGTCTAGATACCCTTAAGGAGAACCTCTGACCTACTTTCAGTGACCTCCTAGTGGACAGTCATTCACCATGTGTAGCAAGCAGCGTCTTGGGCTTGGCATATATTTTGGGAGACAACTTGGGAGAAATCTTTCTGTATCCCACACTGACATATATATGTATATGTATATGTATGTATGTATAATGACTACGTTAGGTTATTGCTCAGTATTTTATACATATGGGGGCTACTGTAAATGATAATGATTTCCTTATTAATGTGCATATAGTCAACTGGTTTTTGTGTGTTACCCTTTTATTTTACCACTTTGCTTAACCCTTTTATTAGTTAGAAGTATGTGTGTGTGTGATCTGATCACATAGGATGTCATCTTCATAAAACAATTTGCTAATTGCCTCATAAGCGTAAAGGTAAACCTCTTCAATTTCTTTTAGGTTAGAATGATAAATATGTTAAGCTCCAAGTTTCTAGCATGTACAGATAAGATAGTTCTGATGCTTAAATCAGTAAGGTGAGCTACCGAAATGAGTATTTAGGCTGGAAAGTATGATAACAATGTGCCCTGGGTTTCTTGTATCTGCTCTTAATGATGGTGTTTCTGTGTGAATGCAAGCAGAATTTTATCATGAGATTAGCTAAGTCCACCATGGTGGTGGAAGTGAATCAACAATTTAATATACAGTGAACCCTCGTTTATCGCGGTTAATCGGTTCTAGACCCTACCATGATAAATGAAATTCCACGAAGTAGGATTCCTTATTTGTAAATCAAATATTTTCGTAGTTAGAGCATAGAGGACATGAAAAAACACCCTTTA